TTTTATAATGTGATCAGATATGCTTAAATATGGTGCTGATAATCAGATTTGTAAACTGTATAATGTTAACGCCGGTCCCCGGAAAACCCGCTGGTGTTCTATCGGTCCACCGTGGCCCCGGAAGTGTTGGAACCGCTGGCTGTCGGTACGCCAGAGAGAACCCACCCTTCCCAAGGGTACAGCGGGTTCCGCTGGGTTAACATCACACACAGAGGGCACTTAAGGACAAAAACAGTCGGATATTGGCACTTTAATTCGTCATCGTGTTTGTAATAAGACATAGGAACTCACCTGAAATAGCCGAGACAGAAGTGGTGCATCAGACCGGCCACAGTTTTCTATGTTCTGGAAACGAAGAGGGGACGTTGCATTCCAGCATCGGCCTATAAGAAGGCAGACACAGACCGATTTGTAACTCAAATGAATCTGAAGAGAAACTTTATTTACATTTAACTTACTTATTGAATAATTAAGCTGTTTGAGTAGACATGGAATGCAAATCTTCGGCAAGTGGATGTGGAACTTCGTAATTCTGTTTGAGGAAAGAATGGAACTGGAGTGCGAGAGAACTAATGAAAATATTACAACAGCTTACAGCGATAAATCTGGGGTAGAAGAGAGAAAAGGAGCACAGTAAATAAATCAAGTCCGTCAAGACGGGCAGGTTGCAGGTTAGGAGCATTCGTGCACGCCAACAAAAGTGACACCAGCCTCAAAATTTGTAACTCGGATACATGCAAAGGTCACTTCATAAAAACAAGCCGGTTGCCACAGAAGTAACTTAAGAGGCGAATGCATGAAACAAGATTAAATAACCACATATATTAGGGTTTTTTTAGTGTTCTGTCTGACGACAGGTCCATATGAACAGGATCCTTCCATCCTTTTCTCGGACTGGGACCTGTTCATATACGTTCTTGGCAGATGATCCAGAAGGGGTTTGCCATTGCCTTCTTCTGTGTGTGAATGGAGTAATTGTTGGGATGCCACGAAGGAAAACTCCGTGTTGCCTAGACCACCTCATCTTATTATTATTTAGTGTTCTGTCTGACGACAGGTCCATATGAACAAGATCCTTCCATCCTTTTCTCGGACTGGGACCTGTTCATATAAGTTCTTGGCAGATGATCCAGAAGTGGCTTGCCATTGCCTTCTT